AAGTGATGCTACTAAATGAGCAATGATGCTAAAGACAAATTAAAGTCTTCCCTTTTACTCAGGACTATTAAATTACTTGGAAACTGCTTTATTCAGCAAGGGAGTAAAAGGAAACTTCAACTTATGTGAATTATCACAAGCATTGAATTAATAATGTAACCCCAGTTATTATATATTATTGAAGATTAAATCAACCATTGAACATCCTGCCCCCTACGTTCAATTTTGGAGGAGATAAAAGGGAGCGGGGTGATTGGCTGAACTCAGTTTTCTGAAAAAATTCCTAGCACACAGAGAATAAAAATAATCCTATAAATAGTCATAGAGGAGTATATTTCCAAAATCAGTGCTTAGCTAACACCAATTAACTGGCAAGACTTTAGATCTCCAGGCATTGCCTCCTGATCAAGGGGAGAAAGGAAGAAAGAACGACTTCATTTCTTTCTCATATTTATTCATTGCTGTAGCCAGGAATGTGTTCATTTCTAAATGGGGTTGTAGTATGGTTGATTAGTCTGTGCATGATACCAAACATCTGAACTAAACCTGGAAATTACAGCCAAAATATTCTTTATTTTCTATGAGAACTTGCTGATGAACATATCATTTCTTGATAATTAAGGGCAGTTTCAGATTCTGGCTGTTATACAGTGGGATGGAAGACATTAGACTTCTCACTCGTCTTACTTCACACTTCCATCATATTAGTGAAAGCAGCACATCTATGCCTCTAGGACCAGGTCAAATCCTCTCCTATCTCAAATCAACTTTTATTTCCTCTGTCTGTGCCTACTGTGAAATCTTTGGGTTGGTGATTTTTAAAAATTAATTTACTTATGTTATATATTAGTCCCTATGTTGATTGCATCATGGAATAATATATCATCTAACCTTCATACTCCATGAAGTGGTAATGGAGTGGTAATGTTTTCAGAACCCACGAAAAACAGTCAAGATTCAAATGTACTTCTGTGAAGTGCTCATATTCCCTTCCTATCATGGTTGTATTAAGCCAAAGCCCAAGTCAATTAATAAACTAATTAACCAGTGTTTAAGGAGCTCCAGGCTCTCATTTAAGTAAAAATATAAAAGAACTGGCTCTTTCACTTCAGGCTATTCTGGCTAATTCCATTCTTATTCATATGCTCACAGAGAATTAATAAAAACTATTTAAGAAGCTTTCAAGTCATGAAACCTATAGCATTGGTTACTAACAGTGGCAAAAATGAAAGGCTGTTGCTTTAACTTTGTTAGTAGGTTCTGATCTTTACCTTACTTTGTCAGGCATGTTGGATTAAAAGTCAGGTGTTAAATTTCATTCACTCTGTATCAGTCTCAAAGGTCAGTCATACAGTTTTATCTCAATAAGAGATTCAAGAAGTTGGTTGACACTCCAGCTTTATGAAATCTCCAAGTCAGTGTAAAGCCAAAAGTTCCCTCAAGAACTCAAGAAAAATAGATCAAGAGGATTTAATGAGAAATAGAAGTAAATGCATTGATCTTTTCTATTCTGGATTTTGTCTTTATATTTGCCAAATATTATTATAAAATCTCAAAACTGGAAAATCAATTTCACATAATCTAAATGTCTCATATTGAAGAAAGGAAAACAGGGTTAAATTTTATGGATATGTTGTGATGCCATAATTGCACTCATTATACATTTTTCTTTTTTAAAAAAGTTTTTTTTTTTTACTTACTTGAAAGTCGGAATTACACACAGAGAGAAGGAGAGGCAGAGAGAGTGAGAAAGAGAGAGAGAGAAGTCCTCCATCCGCTGGTTCACTCCCCAGTTGGCCGCATAAGGCCAAGCTGTGCCGCTCCAAAGCGAGGAGCCAGGGGCTTCTTCAAGGTCTCCCACTGGGGGTGCTGGGGCCCATGGACTTGGGCCATCTTCCACTGCTTTCCCAGGCCATAGCAGAGAGCTGGATCAGAAGTGGAGCAGCCAGGACACAAACCGAAACCCATATGGGATGCCCATATGCAGGCAGCAGCTTTATCCACTACGCCACAGCATTGGCCCCCATTATACACTTTTTTTTTTTTTTTTTGACAGGCAGAGTGGACAGTAAGAGAGACAGAGAGAAAGGTCTTCCTTTGCCGTTGGTTCACCCTCCAATGGCCGCTGCACTGTGGCTGGCGCACCGCACTGATCCGAAGGCAGGAGCCAGGTGCTTCTGGTCTCCCATGCGGGTGCACGGTCCAAGGACTTGGGCCATCCTCCACCACACTTCCAGGCCACAGCAGAGAGCTGCCCTGGAAGAGGGGCAACTGGGACAGAATCCAGCGCCCCGACCAGGACTAGAACCCGGTGTGCTGGTGCCGCAGGCGGAGGATTAGCCTATTGAGCCATGGTGCCGGCTCCATTATACACTTTTCACATGGCTAATGAGGGCCTCAAAAGTCTTTATAAGTGGCACATTCAAACATGTACAGAAGCTTCCTATTTTATGAAATTTTAAGACAAAAAGTCTTTTTAAGGCTAAGAGCTCAATCAAGAGAACAGAGTTAATTAGAGTTAGCAATATCCTTTTTTTTTTAATTCCCATGCTGTGTTACTACTTCGCAGAGTGAGTACCTTAGATGATTATGATGATTTTTATGTAAGGTGACCCACATAAGAAATAATGTCTCTGATAGACTGCTGTCATTTTTTTTTATTAACAATATCACTCTACATAGAAGTAGATCTTGGTCATCCTCTTTAGTTCAAGACATTTCCAGATTTACCCCTTTTATGGAACAACCTATTTTCCTTTGTTAATTTGAAGTCTTCACTGTAGCCTCTTTTTCTGCCTATTGATTCAGTGGCACAGGGAACCCAAAATGTCCATGTAGTACTCTCAGTTCTTGGTTCATAGGATTCATGTTGTATTGCCTAGTGATAAGAATTTTTTTTTAACCTTAAGAACCAAGACCTCTGAGAACACAAAGATGTATAAACATACGAGAACACTTGTAAGAGTTTTGTGAATTGACCAAAAGGCAAAATGGCAAAGGTGGCTGCCCTTAACTTCTATCCCTAGTTATAGGAGAAGAGAAGCCAAACATCAGTCACTAGATCAAAGCAGATACCACAGTTTGTAGAGTCAGCTTCCCAAACCTCCAACTTGCTGTCACCCAGTTGGTCCTGTAACTGATTATTCAGTAGCCAATGTGCATTTTCCTCAGGTATGTTGCTTCTGGTTGAAAAAGTACATAGAGAAGTAAATTTTTAAAAATGAGATCATTGACTGATTATCTTTTAAATTGAATTCCTTTGTCAGTAATTGAGCATTAGCTTAAGGTAGTGGATAAAGTATTAAGAAATCCGTAAGTGATGATAGTGGGATAAACTCATGTCCTGCATATTTATTTCATTTGGGACAAATGAGGACAAGAGGCTTCTGTGAGCAAGCTGCCTCCAAAGCAATGATGATGCATCAGTTTTGGTCTCTCTTGTCAGAAGAGTAGACCCTCGATATTGGCATTAACCAGATCAGTTTTGTTGAAGGAAACTCAAGGCAGTATCTTTGTCTCTGAAGCCCTGGATGATTTATTCACTACTTATTTGGGGAAAAAAGTATATGATATCCGAGAGTAGGTCAGATTGAACACTTGATTACTGATATTCTTGTACAAAGGGAACCTTTCTCATGAGTTATAAATATTCTCATACTCTGTGCCTATTTCATGAGGCCTATCCATATACTCTTCTCCAATCTTATTTCTCCCAAGCCCCTGAGAGTTTCATCAAACATTTGGCAACTGCCCATGTGTCATTATGGACTGTATTTCTACCCACCTCTTTTTTCAGAACAACATACTAGCAAAATGCACTGATCTACATTCTGATCACTGGGTATGTTTTATTTCCAAATTGTATCATAGAGCTGTCCTTGAGTGAGGTTGTAATGATATAACCATCTGTTTTTAGCCAGTGTCAGTCTATCGTGCAACATACTCATTAATGAAGCTCCAAGTTTCTTCTTCCTCAGTAATCTGGTCATTGGAAAATACTTATGAGTCTATGAGGATGGGTTGATAAAAAAGTGGCAATGCAAGGTAACAAGTACCATGAAAGTAAAAGTCAGTAGTTCATGTAACTTACTTGAGCCTGTTTGCATATACAATACTTCTATCGAATGAGAAAGAACTTCTGTGTATTCAAATCTTGATCAGTAAACCCATTTAAATGACTGTAAGCCTGTGTTGTACAGTCAGATATAAGCATTGTACCAAAAACATACAGTTCTAATCAGTGCAGAGAAGATACTTCTTCATAGAATAGTTTGTGAGATTTCTCCCCCCCTACTTCTCGGGACCTACTTGGTGAGTCTCCCAGCGGAGTTCAGTAGAAGTTGTATACAGCATCCTGATCAGTTATAGACCCTTGTGTGTCTTAAGTCACGTGATAGCACCAAAAAGAAAAACAGCTTAAAACCAAGCCTGGAACACTTGTAGACTATGTTTCTTGCTTTGAACTTCATTGAGAACAGTTAGTCTTAGAGGCCACTTCACAAATTGTCTGAGGAAGCAATTCTAAATGTGGTGTCTATATATTCTGAATCCAAATAAGCTAAGACGTGTCCCTCCTAATAAAGGAGGTAAAAAGGGCAGCAACTTGTCTTTCAGGGTGGAGGCAACACATAATCAAGTTCTAGGTCAGTGGGCCCCTAAAAACTTAGGTGAGATCACAGGCCCTGGCATATTTTTGATTTTTGACCTCATACCATCTGGCACACATGAATTTTAGCACATTATTATTTACCAGTAGGTCGTATTAGTGTTATGTCAACCATGTATAGACCAATTAATGACCTGTGCAGTAGCAAGATGCTAAAGGTTCCTGCATGCCAGATTTTGATAAAAAGCCAGAAAGTTGATAAGTTTGAGATAAGTCAATGAAATACACTATTTCCCCTGTCGGAGAGATAACTGTATCTGAGATACTTTGTTGTTGGTGTAGAGTTTTTAGAAAAGTATTTGTGACATCAATAGCTGCAGTTGCTAGGGTACTTGCTGATTTATTCTAATCATAAGTGTTTGGAACAGGTTCTAAAATTGAGGTTATTGTATGATCAGATATGTGAGAATTTAATATTCTAAGACGTGTATCATTCGTGGGCCAAAGAGGTGAGTTAAATGAAGATGTTGTAATTATCACTTTTGTAATTTCAAGTCTTTGTTGTGATGGTAGTCTCTGCCATTTCTCCAGGAATAGAATGTTGTCTTTGGGTTGCTATTTTGTGAGGATACATGGATCTTTCTGGTGGAGACTGTTGCACTGGCTTCCATTTGGTCCTTCCTACCAGAATGGTTCTCATCTCATATTGGGAAGGAAAAATAGGAATTCATCCAACGACTAAGTATTATAATCTACTGCACATTCAGGATCTGAGAAATGAGAACTGGGTAGATTCTTAAATATAACTGGTTCTCTGTGATACATAACTAAGAGAAATCTTTATTACTTACTTTATTTTTTTAGTGCATATTGTACAATTTATTAGTTCAATTTCTTTTTTTTTATACTATGAGCATTTCTTTTTTTTTTCTTTTCTTTAAACTTTTATTTAATGAATATAAATTTCCAAAGTACAGCTAATGGATTACAATGGCTCCCCCCCCATAACCTCCCTCCCACCTGCAACCCTCCCCTTTCCCACTCCCTCTCCCCTTCCATTCACATCAAGATTCGTTTTTGATTCTCTTTATATACAGAAGATCAGTTTAGCATACATTAAGTAAAGATTTCAACAGTTTGCTCCCACACAGGAACATAAAGTAAAAAATACTGTTTGAGTACTAGTTATAGCATTAAATCACAATGTACAGCACATTAAGGACAGAGATCCTACATGAGGAGTAAGTGCACAGTGACTCCTGTTGTTGACTTAACAAAATGACACTCTTGTTTATGGCATCAGTAATCACCCTAGGCTCTTGTCATGAGCTGCCAACGCTATGGAAGCCTTTTTAGTTCACCGACTCTTATCTTATTTAGACAAGGTCATAGTCAAAGTGGAAGTCCTTTCCTCCCTTCAGAGAAAGGTACCTCCTTCTTTGATGACCTGTTCTTTCCACTGGGATCTCACTCGCAGAGATCTTTCATGTAGGTTTTTTTTTTTTCCCCCAGAGTGTCTTGGCTTTCCATGCCTGAAATACTCTCATGGGCTTTTCAGCTGGATCCGAATGCCTTAAGGGCTGATTATGAGGCCAGAGTGCTGTTTAGGACATCTGCCATTCTATGGGTCTGCTGTGTATCTCACTTCCCATGTTGGATCATTCTCTCCCTTTTTTATTCTATCAGCTAGTATTTGCAGACACTATTCTTGTTTATGTGATCCCCTTTGGTTCTTAGTCCTATCATTATGATCAATTGTGAACAGAAATTGATCACTGGGACCAGTGAGATGGCATTGGTACATGCCACCTTGATGGGATTGAATTGGAATCCCTTACTTGAAAGAATCCATAGTCCTCTCAGTGAACTATGGTGGAGTTTGAATTCCCCAAAGATTAGTGTAGTCTCTGAGCCCCCATCTAATAACCTCTCAAAGATTTGGGTATTTCTTTTACCTTTGGAAAATGACTGTAGATCTCTTTGTAGAAGAATGCAGGAAAGATTTGGGATACTAAATCCTTCAGTAGTACTGGCCTCCTTCTCATTAAATGGATTCTGACTCTGTACTGTATTAGATCTAAAAATGCTTGAAGAATCATTCAGATGATTAAATTATCTGAAAGATCCCACTTCCACAGTTGATAAGTTGACCAAAATCCTTGAGTCAGCTTGACCAACTCATAAGAAGCTGAATGATCAAAATATTGGTTGGGAATGGGGGAATCAGAAGAACATGTTGTTTAACATTATCTTGTACTGACAGTATAATAGTACCTAGTAGCTGAGTCATTCAGTGTTACTTTTGCAAGGATAACACTCAAAAAAGAGCCATATTTGTTAAATTATCTGCCCTAGTTTAATATTTTTATTATCATGTGGAATTGATGAAAGGTCTCTTTATATTCTCTCATAGTTGGCTAAACATTTCCTTGTTCTCATTTACTTTGTCCAAACAAGCTACATATGCATTTTATTTTGTTTGTTTGTTTTTACTGAATACCTACAAATCCTAAATTTGAAATATTCTGAAGTCAGTTAATACTTTTAGAAACTTTATGCTAGCTTGCTCTCATAAATAACAGTCCTACTGTGATCATTTTAAGATATCAAAAGAAACTATCTTTTATTCTAGGGTTGCAGAAGACAGGCATGTCTCTGTAGCTTTTAATACTAATTAGCAATGTTCATTAGCTTGGGCCAAACACATAGAAAACGACTACTATCAGAGAACGATTTGTGAAAATTATGGATCAAAATGTTTTTTTAGATGGTAGATGAAACCAGTCTCAGAGCTTAATTGTCTTGAGATAATTTTTCTCTTTATTCAATTCATAGAGTCAAGTTTGTTTGACTTAAAAATGGATGAAGGTGGAATGAAATCCACATCTTCACAGCTGATCTATAACAATGGTGATATACACTTTGTGCAAACCTATTAAAATGAATAATGGTGCCCTCATACACCATTGAAGTCATGTTACGATGAGAAATCATTCATCAGAAATGCATATAAATCTGGAATTCAATTAATCATCTCATACAATGAGTTAGTCTCTTGCAATTTTTATTCTAATAAATTTCTTCTTCAAATAAAATTCAGTTGTTACTGGAAAATATCAAACCACCAGTTCTTAAAAGCACATATGGGTTTGTAACTAAGCCCAATAAAATTTATGATAAAATATAAAAAATAAAGAGCTAAAATTAAGTAAAATTATTATAGGGAACAATACTGAATTTCAGGTGTAATACAACACATTTTAGTTTTTAACAAAACACATTATTAGGAGTTTTAGAATGAAATTTAAAACAAGATTTAATATATTCAGTGAATAGCTGATGACAAGAAGAATGTAGCAGTATTAGAAAATTCCAGAGGTGATCTAATATGCTTTACTAAAATAAGCATGCTACATGTTAACATTAAAAATGCATTATCATTCCGAAAGAAGGAATTGTTTGTGGCTGAGAAACTCCAGATACTGATGTTTGGGTGCATAATGCGAGATAAATGGAGGCAAGCTTTTAAGCTTTTTTTTTCCTTTGCAAATGCTGAAATATTGCTACAACTATATAATCAATTAAAAATATTACTGAGTTTGGGAAATATGTCAGTGACTGATTTATTTTCCCATTTCTTTCCTATTTGGTATAACCCCGGTGCCAGTTGAACTCACTGATGAATTTTGAAGCAAGAAATAACCTGACTTCAAGTACAATTTATAAGAAATTCTGATGATGCTACTGTATCAGCCTTCCTCTTCATTTCCTGAGAAGAAACCTAATTCAAATTTCTCTTCCACGACTGTTCATTCACCCAGAGTGAAAAAATTCAGATCTATTATCTCTCAGTGTTATTTTTTTATCACTGTCTACTTCCTTTGATGTAGTTGTAGAGATGTGAATTAAATAGATAAATAGTATGTATCCCATAATACTGACACCACAAATGGTAAGAATTATAGGATCCATAAGTTTGTATATTAAATGTTACATAATTATTCCAATTTCATGTCTAGCTTCAGAAAGACTTGCCCTGACACAAGTTCTGTCTTTTGTTATTTTAAGTGACACCTCTTCCAGTGATTCATGGAGTGGAATGTATTTAAATGGACTCGGTTCTGAGGAAACTGGAGTGCAAATAAGAATCACATCCATCCATGCTCTTTCTCTGAAATATCTTTTATATGAGAAAAGCTGAAGTGTGCTGCATTGATTTCCTATTGCTACTTAACAAATTACCACACATTTAGTGGTTTAAAAAAAATTCAGAATTCTAGAGGTCAGAACTCCTAAAATCAGCATGCCAGCTGGGCTACACTGCAGCTGAGGGAGCAAGGGGAGCTCTGTTGCCTGGCCTTCCTTGGCTCCTGACTTGCTGCTTGGCTTTCAAAGCCAGATGCACAGCAACTGCTAGTTTCTCTGCCTGTTTTCCACTTTGTTCTTGTTTCCTCTTGTCATCGCATAGCCTTCCTTGATTTTGATCTCTTGCCACTCTCCTGCAAAAACTCTAGAAATGACACGAGCCCGCCTAGATAACCCAGGGTAATCGTCCCATATGAAAATCTTGAATATGATCGCATCTGAAAACTCACTTCTGCTATGAAACGTAACATAGTCACAGGTGCTAGGATATGGGAATCTTAGGGGCCAGAGGCACTGTTCAACCTACCATAGCATACTCATGACATCCCTTTGTTTTCGTTTCAGTTTTTTTTTCCTTAGAAAAATCTGTTTATTCACTCTATTTCAGTATCTTCTGAAAAAGACTAGTATGTTGGGTACTCAGGTGTGCCAAGCCCTAGACTTGAAATACTGAGATGAATATGGGAGGCAGCCACATGCTCCCAGAGTTTGCCGTGCTTTGAAGCAAAGAGCCAAGTAAGAAGGTAATGTGTTCCAGTTTATGTAGTACTTATTGACCTGTTATGAGGGATACCTAATACAGACAAAAAAAAAAAAAAAAAAAAAAAAAAAAAAGCTTGCTGGTAGAGGCGTTACTTAGATTGAAACCTAAAACATACATGAGGGAGAATGGGTTGTGGGGGACACTGCAGGCAGAGAGAACAGCATAACCAGAGACTGAGAACCTAAGGGGGATGACCCATCATTCTGGAATGTGTGTAGCAAAGGAGACTTGAGAAGAAGGATGATGGTGGAGCAGCTATCTAGGTTTAAGTGAAGCTGTCATATCATTAGACTTTTTTTATTTTCTGAAGATTTTTCTAGTTACAGTGCGGAAAATGTATTGAAGAAATAAAACCAGATGTGGGTCAGAATCTATTTTAAAATATATTTGCATCCCATATGGGCTCCAATTTCAGTCCCAGCTGCTCCACTTCTGATCCAGCTACTTGCTGATGTAACTATAAAAGTATCAGAGGATGGTCCAAGTCCTTGGGCTCCTGCATACACATGGGAGACCTGGAGGAAGCTCCTGGCTCCTGCCTTCAGCTTGGACCAGCCTTGGCCATTGCAGCCCTCTGGAGAGTGAACCAGCAGAAGGAAGATCTCTGTCTCTCTGAAACTCTGTCTTTGAAAATAAAATCTGTAAATATGATTGCATCTAGTTCTCTTTTGAACCCCTTAATTACTGAGTCTTTAGGTGACTATTTTTTTATTTCTGTAAGGTGTTGACTTCTTTTTTGCACCAGTGCCCAAATACATGTTCTCCCTGCTGGCAATACTTTACTTCCTGTTCTTACTTTACTTTTTTATTTCTCTTTTTATTTATTTGAAGAACATAGAGAGAGGGGTTGTGGGAGGAGAGAGGGGACAGGGAGGCAGAGAGAGATCTTAGTCTGCTCGTTCAGTACCTACATGGCCACAGTGGACAGGGCTGAGTCAGGCTGAAGCCAACAAGTAGAAGTCTTTTCTGGGTCTCCTATGTGGATGGCAGGAGCCCAAGCACTTAGGTCATTTTCTGCTGTTTTCACAGGCATATAAGTAAGGAGCTAGATTGGAAGTGGAGCTGCCTGGACACCATCCAGCATCCTATAAGGATGCTTAACCCACTAAGCCATAATGCAATCCTCATTACTATTTCATTTAAATCTGCCTAAAACTCCCAAAGGTAAGTATCCTGTTCTATCCTCCCATAATGGCTGGCACCTGTTCTTTGTGCCAAGCAACTTTTCATTGAATAAACAAGAAAGAATTAAATATTTTCTCAGGAAAAATCATGAATTTTTACATTTCACTCTTTGAATTCAAAAATTTTTACCGTCTTTTTATCTTTGTTGATATTTTTATTGACAAGATCTTGTCATAATGTATTCTCTCTATTGTGTAAGACTTGGCTTTTTTACTTCTTTGAATATATTTACAAGATGCTACTTTGAAGCCTTTTTGCTAAACACAGCATCTGATACTCAAAAGTCTGTTTTAATTCCCTGATTGTTTCCTGTGTGTTAATCATACTGTCCTACATTTTTTCACAGGTCACTAAAAAAGAAAAAAACTGACATTGAAAAAATTTATATATTTATGTTAGATAATAACTTGTTGATGAAAACTCCCCTCTCTCCATTCCACAGTTTGTGATTTGCTTGGTTATTTTCTTTTGTGTTCAGTGGACTTATTCTGGGATGTCTATTCACCTCACTGTTATTTTCATGTTTTCTCTTAGATTGGGTTCCTACAAATTGCTCCATATTGTTTAAAGCCAATTATTGGCAGAAGTGTCATCCCCTTAAACAGATTCCATTCTTTATCTTCTGAGATCTGTGTGGTTTCGGGGCTGCTCTCACAGTATGCTTTTTAATCCCATATGGAGCCAAGCCTTAATGGCGTGCAAATTCTGTCTTACCTTTCTCAACTGCATAGAGTCTTGGACACAGACTCTCTCTTCTATTGTGCCCATAACTGCAGGCTTGGCTTTCATGGTGTTTTTTGGTCAATTGAATTTTGATCATTCTGGTTTGTGTTTAGTAAAGTATTGGCTTATGGCTTTAAGTTGTATTTCCCTGATGGCTAACAAAGTTGACCACCTTTTCAACTATTTTCAACTATTGGTTATTTGTATTATTCTTTTGACAAAGTATCTGTTTAAGATATTTTGCCCATTTTTCTAGTAAGTTACCTTGTTAATTCATATGTACAAAATCTTTCTGTATTCTGCATACCCTATTATGTTTTAACAGAAAATAGAATACATGAGTGAATGATGAGTCTGATAGATATATTGTGAGAAATTAAGAAAATTGAAAAGAGGCTGCTAGAAATACTACTAGCTGACATTAAAAATGAGGGGGCCGGCACTGTGGCACACTTGGTTAATCCTCCGCCTGCGGCACTGGCATCCCATATGGGCGCCGGGTTCTAGTTCCGGTTGCTCCTCTTCCAGTCCAGCTATCTGCTGTGGCCCGGGAGTGCAGTGGAGGATGGCCCTGCACCCACATGGGAGACCAGGAGAAGCACCTGGCTCCCGGCTTCGGATTGGCGCAGCACCGGCCGTACCGGCCATCTGGGGAGTGAACAAATGGAAGGAAGACCTTTCTCTCTGTCTCTCTCTCTCACTGTCTGTAACTCTGTCAAATAAATAAATAAATCTTTAAAAAAATGAGGAATTTGAAAGTTGAAAAATACTCTGTAATTATGATGGTTACAGTCATTTAGAGTCCTGGTAGTTACCCCAAATTGGTCTTTTTCTAGTCTGAGAGTCCTCTGACAATAAGCACTGTGAGTTCTAGGCACTGCATTAAGTGTTGTTCATTTATTATATTTAATTCTTAGAACCCTGTAGGGAAAATTTTTATTAAGCCCATTCTAAAGGAAGACATTGAGGATAGTTTTCCTAAGGTTAAACACTGGAACCAAGGATGGTTGACTCCAAAATCTGAGTTATCACATACCATATTAGAGGAAAAGGCCAACTGGTCTTCCAGATACACAAACCCATGGATGAACAGAAGAGATTTAAGAGACAGAAAAGAGGTTCCAAAATAACATTAAACAAATCTAGTGTTATTTATCTTAGAGACATTTTCTTTTTGTTTTAACTTTTATTTAATGAATATAAATTTCCAAAGTACAGCTTATGGATTACAATGGTTTCCCCTGCCCCACAACTTCCCTCCCACTCGCAACCCTCCCCTTTCCCTCTCCCTCCCCCCTTCCATTCACATCAAGATTCATTTTCAATTCTCTTTATATACAGAAGATCAGTTTAGCATATATTAAGTAAATATTTCAACAGTTTGCACCCACACAGAAACACAAAGTGAAATATACTGTTTGAGTACTAGTTATAGCATTAAATCACAATGTACAGCACATTAAGGACAGAGATCCTACATGAGTAGTAAGTGCACAGTGACTCCTGTTGTTGACTTAACAAATTGACACTCTTGTTTATGGCATCAGTAATCACCCTAGGCTCTTGTCATGAGTTGCCAAGGCTATGGAAGCCTTTTGAGTTCACCAACTCTGATCATGTTTAGACAAGGTCATAGTCAAAGAGGAAGTTCTCTCCTCCCTTCAGAGACATTTTCTCAGAATGAATGCCTTGAAGTATAAAAATAATTCTAGGAGAGAAGATATCCTTGGAACCATAGTTAGAAATGGAAGTAGATATAAACTGGAGCATGAATAATGAGTTATTAACCATGAAAATTCCGCTGATAATCATTGGTAGTGGTTCAAAAATTACTGATTATGACATTCAAAACCCCACCCAACCTCATTACTATATTGCTCAGTCTTTACCTTAGCCTTCTATAAAGTCAAACAAATTACTGGTCCCAAGTGGGTTTACATGAGTTAGAAGACTTAGCAAATGCAGAAGGTGAAACTAAATTCTGAAAAGTCCTACTAAAATATCACTTCTTCTATAAAGTGTTTTCTGCTTCTTCCTTTGCATCCAGGAAGAAGTCATACGTCTTTTAAATAAGCTTTAATTGAAGTGTCTATTAAGGGCTGTTATGGAATAAATCATTCATGTAGTCGTTGTTCCCTCAGAATTAAGAGATTGGAGAGGGAGAGAGTTTTTTGCCACCATTATCTGAAACTGCCATGTAGTTAAGTACTTCATAAGCACTACTGAATTAATGTCAGTAACACAAATGTGCAAGATGTAGAGCTTATTAGAAGACAAGGAAAGCATGCTAGCATGGCACGTGGCAGCTGCCACCTGGCTTCAACACCATGGGACAAAATGGAGGATAAGAACTAGAGAAAGCCCACCTAAGCCAAAGAAGAACCCACTCCTGAGTTCTGGCTGATTGTTGCCATTCTGGAATGCAGACCGCATATTTTCAAATTCTTAAATTTATTCAAGAGCTGTTGAAATCTAATCTATTCACCTGCTCATCCATAAATCTAGGCATATACATGTATATTTGCATTTATGATTTTATTAAACTTCCTGATGTTTACATCATGGAAAATTACTAAATATGTAAATCTCTTGGCAAGTCAGTCAACAAAAATTTAAAAAACTAACTTATTTCTAGCTCAGATTTGGTTAGTGAGTTCCAATTTGTAAACCTTGGCACAAGGTAGCACTTCTGAACATACAGTAATTAGGTAGCGTTCTGACTCCACTTTCCAGTAACTTGGGAACACACTGGAAAGACGTCTAATAAAATAAAGGAAATTGTAGCCTGCAAAGTCTAGAGAGTACTAACAGTATATCTGCCTTAAATAACTTAGTCATTACCTTTTAGCCATCTCTAGAGAGATGATATTTAGGACCTCTTCCACTCTGGAGTTTGACAGACTGTGATGAAAGTCTCCAAGGAGGAAAAGTATTCATCTAGGAAAAATATGACCGCATATTTCCACTTTGTGTTTTACAAAGCATATAAAATTCTGCCAGGACCTTGTGTAATTCCTATTGGGAGGGTTTGAGAGTTGACACAACATCAATGTTGTGAACTGGCTTACTAAGCACATAATTATCTGGTTTCGCCATCCTTAAAAATATCAGACAAAACAACCAACAACTCAAGCAGCAACCAGAAAAATTGATTTCATTCTTGTAAACATGACATCTCATGAATGCCAATTGTTTGATCCTAATGTTTTTACTGCTTTCAGTAGCTTAGTGCAACTAAGCTTTCAGTGACTAGAGAAAAGAGTTTCCATCTTTTGCCTCAGTATTTAATAAAACAACAACAACAACAAAACACTAACTCTCAACAGAAGAAAGCCTGTAACTCTAAATGTCTGAAGATTTATTTGTATACATTCCTGTGGAGATTATGTTATGATAAAGCAGGATTATCAAAGAACTTAGCTTTGCACCCTGCAACAGAGTAATATCTTTTTGACTATTCATAATTGCCTTACAGTTGCTGTTAGTCAAGCTAATCAGAGATCAATATGTGTGAGTATTTTGATATAAATGGCTATTGTCTATTTTATTTTTTATAAAACTTTAATAAATATAAATTTTGAAAGTAAAATTTTTGGAGTATAGTGGTTTTTCCCCCATAACCACACTCCCACCCGCAAACCATCCCATCTCCTACTCCCTCTCCTATCCTGTTCTTCATTAAGATTCATTTTTAATTATATTTATACTACTGTCTATTTTTAAAGGATGATTGTGGGGAGCTTCTGTCAGAGGTGATAGAATGCTGTTTCCGGAAGGCTAATTAGAAGACATGAGAATTGTAAAGCAGGGTTCAGGGATGAGGAGGCTCACCTGAGCCTATCTCACTGGCATGTGCACTCAGATGCCTGATGGTCTACACTGTGCTTTTCTCATGCCACAAGGGAAGATAGGCCATGGTAAAATGCTTAGAGAGAATGAGAGTCTAGTTCACAAGATCATAGTGCACTTCAAATTAAGGACTTTAGATACTCTAGAACTTCAGTTATGTATAGATGAGCACTGCATGACGGGTCCACAGAATTCAAAAAGAATTATAAATTACTGTTAAAAATAAATCTCATATTTTTGAGTGGAGAATAGTAAGTACAAGAACCTTAAACTATAATGTTAGATGTGAAAATTAAAAGTTGATAATAATTTTGGAAACGCTGTTTTTAGGTTTCCTTTTATCTTTAAAGTGTATTGAGAGTGAGAGCGAGAGAGGGAGGGAGAGAGGACTTCCACCCCATCTGATGGTTCCCATGCCTCCATCAGCTGGAGCTCAGCCTGGCCATTGGCTGGTAGCCTCACACCCCACCTCGGTCTCCCACGTGGTTGTCAAGGACTCATGTGCCTGAGCCATCACTAC